AGATCTATCTGCAAATGAAACTGCGAGAAGCAGAGGATCGAAAGATCCTGGTATATGTATGCATATCGGAGCTCAGTTGTAGAGCTCACAATCTGAACGAGAGAGAAAGAGAAAACGAAACGAATAGCCAGTCTACTAGACAGTAGAGCTGGAAGGATATTGATTAAATTAGAGAAATTGTGCGTTCAAGTTCACACCTTTTCAATATGTATTCCCGAGGCTGATATCATTAGCGTTAACGTTGCTTGATTTTCTCTCTCGGTTATTGCTGGCTAACAACGATGATTCGATTCGATTCTTGCCTTGGTTCCAACATTGGGAGAAGTCAACCTCAAGACGGTATGCGTTAGCGACGACAAGGCTCCCGTAAAGTGGACGGATTGGTGGCTATAGCTACCGGTGGCTAGCTAGACTAAATGGTGTCCAATCATCAGGAGCGTTCCTCAATCGTGCATGACTTTAAATCCGACCCTAATTTAGGGTCGGTTTGGGGGAATCCGTCCTTAAATATAGGGACGGTTTCGAAACCCGACCCTAAATCCAAACCCGTCCCTAAATTAGGGACGTTTTTTCAGAAACCGTCCCTATTTTTCAGAAAACGTCCCTATTTTTAGGGTCGGTTTCGAAACCCGACCCTAAAGGGAATCCGACCCTAAATCCGACCCTATTTTAGGGTCGGTTTCATGCACGATTGAGGAACGCTCCAGAAACCTGGGAGCGTCGTTTCGCGGCCAATGCTTTCGCCGTGGTGAAGGAGCGTGGATACTTAGAGTTCGCGTTTCGCGCAGAAGCCAAGATCCAACACCGACGATGAATATCCAAACCAAAAAGCAAACGGAGTTGATATTGTTGGCTACCGTAACTTGTTTGAAGATGACGATGTTTCTCTCTGCTCTGTCACTGTTCTCACTACTACTGTCATTGGTGATGGGAGCTCCAGCTGCAGTGCCAATGGAAACTCCAGTTCGAAATTGGGGACCTTCGTGGGCAGCCTCGTGTGCCCGTGGGACATCCATGGTGGTATCTTGTCGAGTAGTGGATAGCACTGACAAACACAAGAATGAGGACGAACACAGCAGTAGTGATGTCAGGAATAACGGCATTTTATTATTACTCCGATCGACCACACCTCCCACAGTGGCCACCAAGTTGCAATACCAGAAAGATTTGTTGTCGTCCAGCACAATCTCATGGACGGAATTGCCCGCCGCCACATTATCTACCAGCAACTTTACGGACGTGTCACCCATGCGATTGGAGAAAAAACCTCTGGAAGAGTTCCGTTCCGTCATGGACGATTCTCACGGTTGTTTTTGGACTCCTTTTGGGGCGAGTGCACTGTGCGCCATGACGGGCCTTTCCTCGGATGTTACCCATCTCTGTCGCGTCGTCCAACGCCGCGTCCACACCCACCGTACCGACTATGATGTTTCGCCCATGGCAACGTCCTCCTTGACCCAAGCCATGTCTCGGACGGTCCGTGAATCCACCATGGCGGGACGACCGTTTGGATTGCAAGCTTTGGTGGTGGGGAAACAACAGCATGCAAGTAGTAACAACAATCCACCACTCCACGTCTACTCGATCGATCCCAGTGGCGCCTGGCGGTGTTGGGGCAGTGGATGTACGGCCATTGGAAAATTAGCCGAATCCATTCGCCGACACTTGTATGGAGGACTCGTGGCCAGCAGTTCCAGCAATCCAAACAATAATATTCATCCCCAAGTGGCCATGGAAATTGCCATGCAAGCCAGTGTCACGGCGTCGCAAGAAGCGTCCTTGAATCAAGACAATGATCAGTACGATGCCGTCTTGTTTTGGGTGGATGATGTGACGGGGGCATGTCAGGTGGCTACCGTTGATCCGCAATGGGTGCAGGATTGTCGGGACAGAGTGACCAAATCTTTGCTGGAGGAGCAGGTATGATCAAGTCAAGATGAAGGTAGGATCGAGATTTGCTAGACATGTGGTTTGACCGTCTAGCCAGATCGACAGACGCAGACCAAGTTGCTGTGTTTATCTGTCATGATGCCCAATTAATTCATCTGGAGGTCGTCGCCCCAGCCAATCATTGGAATGGAACGGGAGCGTTTGGTGGCACAAGGGATAATGGCATTTCGTCATTGCCGCATTGAGCTACGAACGGACTTTGGCGGATCTAAATTGGGATTTTAACAATTAACTGGAACTTTTGATTGATTATCCATTCTGATGATGATGATGATAAGGCATTGGATAATACTTGTTTTGGATGCTGGCATGCCACGGTACGTTGCTCCCTGTGCGGTGCACACTCTTCGAATGCAACACTGGCAATAAATAACCCCGGATGGATGACTTTTAATTCTTAATACGCACTGGTGGTGGCTGATTTTGTTGTTGTCGTCTGGACGACTTGTCGCATATCCGAGGCGAGCATCTGCCACAATTGTAGATTGGTCGCCAAGAGTGACAGCTGTGCTTGCTGAAAATCATTCTTGTTATTGTTACTGTGGCTACCGCCAAATGCCAGAAGCGCCGATTCCTCCACAATGGCGCGAGACAACAAATCCTCCATGGCTTGCTGCTTGTGAGACAGTAACGTCTCACGGGCCTTGTGGATTTTAGTCTCCAACACTCCAATCTCGGCTTCGACCTGCGTTAAGATGGGCGCATACGGTGTGGTTTTCCGCTGAACCGTCGTCTCGGAGGCACTGGCTCGTTTCTTCACCAGTCTTCCCACCAAGCCAAAACACTTTAATCCTGGTTCTGGCGGCTGCTGCGACAGGCGCAGAGGCGAGCTGCTGTGCGGCGAGAGTTTGGCTCGTTTGGCGGTTGGCGGAGAGGTAGATTCGTCGTGTTGCTCTTTCTGGAAGAGCAGTGCTTCTTGCTCGATGCGCTTCATGGAAGAAACATGCCGGAGCTGTTTCGTTAACCCTTCTCGTTCTTGGAGGAATTGATGTACCATCTTCCAAAATGCGGCATCCACTTCGTTGCCGCCATTATCATCTTCGCAATCCTTCTTGCCGCCGCCATTGGACGAAGAATGCAGAGACTGCAACAAGTGCAAATGAAAGGGGTGGAATGAGGGCGGTGACATGGCTGTGTGCGGGATGGCTGGATTGGTGCCGGTGGTTGGCAACGATGGAGGATACATTCGTAGAAAAGCGTTGCTTGGAGGGAGATGTCTCGAGCACTCAAGTGCTTTATGCGTGCTGTCGGAAGGAAGTCCCGAGCTTGGAGGCAGGCACAGAACTTGATGCCAAACGCCCGCCAGCATTATTTGCGCCTTCCGTGCTTTTTGGCTTACACCCTTTCAATGCATGACCTGCACGCCAATGACAGTCTGGATCCAAGTTGCATACCTGACAAGGCCAGCGGAGGGTCAAGCTTAAAGATAAACTGGACTATGGAACGACCTGGGGATATGGCAGGGCTCTGTGGGGTCTGGGGCTTGGATTTTGCGGATCAAAACGTTTGGGATTCAATTTGTGAGGTCTGCAGGAGCCACCAATGATTTGCATCACCCGGCTGAGGACGTTATGTGCAGTCTAACTAATTGTGGAAGCTACGGTACGCTACGTAGCTCAGGATTGGTGAGTGCCCACCGTACGGTAAGGAAAGCTGACTAGTGAACACGACTTCTCGCACTCTTGAACGAGGGAAGCTTTGTCGTGGTCGCAATCATACCTGCCGAGTTGTCTATGGTTTATCTATCTCCCATTGGCTTCGTCGTTTCATGCAATAACGCTACAGAGATCGAGCTATGTGTGAATTGTGGCAGGTCTGTTGCCCGTCTAAAGCAACGGTATGGAACAAAGGCGATTCGATGTCGAAAACATGAACTATAGATTTGGTGTGGATTCCTGGTCGGTTGTGGTCTGGCCACTCGCCTCGCTGGAACTCTTCGTTTTGCTGACAAGGGATACATCCTCCGCAACGTTCTGCCCTGTCAGGGAGTCAAAGTTTGCCAGATACACTGGAGACGACGAGGGCTTCGTGGCGACTGCTATTGACGGCTTGAGACCATTGAACGAAGGTAAATATGCTGGCGGTCGCGGAATGGTTGGCAGGTATGGGCGAGAGGATGGAATTTGGACATAGTCAAACATTTCCAAGTAGGAATCCGATGGAGTCGGCTTGGTTGGACCCCCGGACGGGTGTAAGGTAGGGGATATCGCACTTGTTGTTGGTTCGCTGGGCCCGGGGGTCGTCTCTGTACTGGAAGGCACAAAAGAAGGACTGAAAGAAACAAAAGGGGGAACATTGGGGAATTCCAAAGTGGGAAAGAGCAATGGTTCCATCATGGTCGGCTCCAAAGTCGGGCTTTCTGTTGGATTGTTCGTATAAATGCTTGGAAGGAGTGTTGGGTTTGCTGTCGGTTTATCAGTGTTTACAATGGGGGATATTGATGGCGCCACTGTTTGCATTTTGGACGGCGTCTTGGTGGGGATGCCGGTTGGAGCTGTCGTGGGTGAGACAGTTGGTGCTACTGTGGGCAAGGCTGTTGGAGCTTTGTTTGGTTGTGCTGTTGGTTGTGCTGTTGGTTGTGCTGTTGTTGGTGATAATGTTGGTGCTTTGTTTGGTTGTGCTGTTGGGGATGCTGTTGGGGATGATGTTGTGGTGATGGTGGGTGATATTGTTGGGGGTTTGGTTGGTGAAGATGTAGGTGTTTTTGTTGGGGAGCTGGTTGGACTTTTTGTTGGGGACTTGGTTGGAGTTTTGGTTGGATTTTCTGTTGGGGTGTTGGTCGGTGGTGAGGTTGGTGATGAGGTCGGTGCTGCAGTTGGTTGTTCAGTGATTGATTCTGCGCTGCCTCCGCCAAGTCCACCCACTTGAAATGTGACATCTGTACCAGTTTGGGAGAGGACTTTGATTGAAATCCCACTCTCAGAAATAAATCCACCCTGGTAGCTGTCAGTGTTGGGGTAAACTGAGCCTCCCTTTCCTGGGCCCAGTGTGTCTCCAGGCATCCACATGTCACCAGCATCTCCACTGTTCTCTCCCTGTTCGAGATCATAATTGCCATCCTTTTGAAGCACTGCAACCTGATAGTGATTTCCATTTTGCGGCCAGCCAGGTTGACCTGGATATCCCCGGTTCTTTTGCAGTGGCGCCGCATCATCAATATTGTAAATAACAAGACCAGCTCCCCAAATGTGGATGTCAAACAACAGTGGCTGCCTATTCTCAATCAACAAATATTCTGATTGAGATCCAAAATCATTGAGATTGATCCTATATGCTTCATCTGATAATTCTGCAGCCTTCAAGTTGTACATGCCATCACTGGTGATTTCTACTGGTTCTAGCCAATCTGCCAGCACCTTGCTCCAAGGGGATAGATGACCAGGATTATTTGCATCATCAGCTGGACCTATAGAGGTTGATAGCATGTGTCAGGAAACAGCAAGACACAGAACGAAAATCGGGCACCAATTCCATACCATATCTTTTGCCAAACAAGAACAGTAAGGAAGGAGTTAGAGCCAGTTCATAGATACAATGGAGTTGGCAGGCAACACAAACTTAACGGAAAAGCCATGATGTCAAAGGCACCAACACCTGATGCAGCCAAAGCATCAACACCATCATAGAGATCCTCAAGTCCTGAAGAAATATAGACAGGTTGGGAACCATGGTATTCTCACTTTAGCCACTAAACATCAAACAAGACCAATATACCTAGAGTGTGCATGTACTGTGGGTATGAGGGAAAAGCAGATGATGAGGGATTTTTCCGTGCATTGATTTCTTCCCCCATTGGGGTGCACCGCCTACCTCATGTGCTGTCAAGCCAATTTTTGCTGGCACTGTCCCACACTCAGCATCGAACGCTGAGGACACTGTGTATGTATTGAGTCGAATTTTCCTGTCTGCTGAGAACCAGGAATCCCTCCTCCTTGAAGCACTGAAAGCTGAAGGAACACAATGACAAATGTCAGTGAGATACCAACACTAATCCTCCATAGCCTCACTCAATCTCCGAAGATCAAACCTACCGTGAGCCCAGATTCTGTTCTCATAGGTTGCATCATAACAGTCTGTTTCAAAAGTCTCTGCTCCGTAGCCACTGTGCATGATGACAAATGAATCAATTTCTCCATTGCCATCTGCATCAAACTTGCTCCAGTCCCAACCCGGTCTTGCATCTAGCTCACTAAGGATTGGCCATGCGATCTGCTGTGATTCTGGCACAATCCCTCTTCTTCCCATGGAATAGTACAGTTCTGTGTTGTCTGTTGTTTGCCAGTCAATGACTGTGGGTTCAATATCATAGCGCCCCTGTGAATTGGCTCGGAACCAATCTCTCATGTTGACGAGCCAAAACGTTCGGATGTCCCGAACAGGGATCATATCCCTGTCAGTGTGATCTGTGAATCTTGCCAAAACAACAAGGACCTTGAAACAAAAAGTTAGTTATGCATCTTTGTCAAACTCTTTGTGGTACGTATGAACAGATACAGCGATGTACCAGTGGACCTACATTAATCTTTCCCAGCTTTGGGCTCAATCTCACTTGTTGTTGGATTCTTCTGTGAGACTGCACATGCTGTCCCATAGCTTCATCATGGTCAATACATTCTTCTTCTGACAGAAAGCGGCACATTTCTGGATGCATATGCTGGGGGGTGTAGTTGAAGTGTAGATTAAGACGCTGTCGAAACTCATGGAGGGACTCGAATGTGTTGGTGGAATTGGGGTGTGGCGGGATCCATGCCCAACCAAATCGCCATTTTGTTGTTGTTACTATTGTTATCCCCGCTATTTTTTGCACTAGGGATCTAAAACCGACCATGGGTTCATCCTGTCGTTATGGGCAGATTAGATTCGACTCGACTCGACTCGACTCACATCAACGATCAGCATGGTCAAAGCAAGCAAAAGAAGCAAGCTCGGGGTCGTTGCCCTGCCATGCGTTTGGTTGGAAGAAAATTCATTCTGTGGCTCACTTTCGGAAACGCAAGCCCTTTTTGGGGTTCACGTTGTTGTTCCGAAAAATGACAAAGCAACCGCTCTGTGAGTCTCTGTGACCTAATGATTTTTGACCGAAACAGCTTTTGGGAAAGCTTCTCTCTGACGGTCGCATCCTTCCTGTCGGATCGTTCCTACCGATAGCTGCTACATCAGCTTACATGGTTGCACTGGGTGGTGGGTGGTGGCGGTACCGGTTGGAGGAGGGAGCGCTCTCGTGCAAATAGCAACCAAAAGCAGCACAACCAACCTGGAACTCCATGCGATAGCTCTAGGTTGCTGTTCTTTGGCTAATGTAGCTGTCAAGAAAGACGACCCCTTTTAACAGCTGTCTGTCTCTTCCATTTCAAGTAGCTATGGGTCCTGAAGTTTCCACTACCTGGTACCTGGTACCAGGAGACGACGACGAAAGCGGCCTTGGAGTAATACTGCTGGCTACTGGCCTGGCCCTCGCCGTGGCAGTCATGGCCAGCACGGGTGCTCACACCTAGATGGACTGCAACTCGACAGAATGCTGTCAAGAGCTTTTCCAGTTCGCCCAGACCGAGTGTGTCTCTTGGATCTTGGACGTGGCAATCTGCAGGGACCCCTTTTCCGGCCGTCGGTGGCTGTCTCCGTAGTATGGATCGTCCCGATAGCAATCTCCGGGTCTGCAATTCCGGAAGACGTGGACAGTAAACCACAAGTCAATCCTGAGCCCTGAGCGCAGGCACTTACTAGCTTGATTGTATGCCGCTGACAAAGTCTGCCTTGTTGCCTTTAAATTCCTTCGCGGTGCCTCCGTGCCCGACTGGTGACTGATGTGTGTAATGCTGCAGGCTGCAGGCTGCAGGCTGCAGGCTAGGTTCACGATGCACGGGGGACAACGCCTGCACTTTGACTGGTACGGTACCTTGCTTTATCTCACTAGCTAGCTAGATAATCAAGCCAGTTCTGCAAGCCGTCGCTTTCGACCTCCTACTAGCTAGCTAGCAGCTAGTAGCAAGATGCCACCGTGTCAGATGACCGTCGGCCGAGAAACTCATTTCTGCGAAAGATGGTACACGACCGGGGTTCGACGGGGTGCTTGCTTACAAGATCGGACTCTCCAAGCAAAGTTTGAAAGATTTGGTGAAGCAACTTTGGTTCCGAGTGACAGTCGAGTCTTACCCACCCTTGCTCTGAAATCAAAAGAAACTTGCAGCTTGACGAACACAGGTCAGCGTTTGCAACTCACGTCCTGTCGATAGAACATGGCGCCGTACAGCAAACTGTTTCACTGTGCAATATGGGGAACGGTTGCAATGGGAGCACTAGCATGGATCCCGCCCCATCCTGAATCCAAGGAGGAATGGGAGTCTGTTCATGACATGAGAAGACGGCTTGGAATCTCTTATAACTACACCCCCCAGCAATTGCATCCAGAAATGTGCCGCTTTCTGTCAGAAGAAGATTGTATTGACCATGATGAAGCTATGGGACAGCATGTGCAGTCACACAGGAGAATCCAACAACAAGTGAGATTGAGTCCAAAACTGGGAAAGATTAATGTAGGTCCTCTGGCACATAAATTGCATCTGTTCATCCGCACCACAAAGAGTTTGACAAAGACGCATAACTAACTTTTTGTTTCAAGGTCCTTGTTGTGTTGGCAAGATTCACAGATCACACTGACAGGGATATGATCCCTGTGCGAGACATCCGAGACTTTTGGCTCGTCAATATGAGAGATTGGTTCCGAGCCAATTCACAGGGTCGCTATGATATTGAACCCACAGTCATTGACTGGCAAACAACAGACAACACAGAAGTGTACTATTCCATGGGGAAAAGAGGGATTGTGCCAGAATCACAACAAATCGCATGGCCAATCCTTGATGAGCTAGATGCGAGACCGGGTTGGGACTGGAGCAAGTTTGATGCAGATGGCAATGGAGAAATTGATTCGTTTGTCATCATGCACAGTGGCTACGGAGCAGAGACTTTTGAAACAGACTGCTATGGAACAACCTATGAAAACAGAATATGGGCTCATGGTAGGTTTGTTCTTTCTTCTTTGTGCTTGAGTGGTGGCACTGGCAACGGAGGAATTGTGTTGGTTCCTCACTGGCATTTGTCATTGTGTTCCTTCAGCTTTCAGTGCTTCAAGGAGGGGGGATTCCTGGTTCTCAGCAGACAGGAAAATTCGACTCAATGCATACACAGTGTCCTCGGCGTTCGACGCTGAGTGTGGGACAGTGCCAGCAAAAATTGGCCTGACAGCACATGAGGTAGGCGGTGCTCCCCAAAGGGCCAAGAAATCAAAGCATGGAAAGATCTCTCATCATCTGCTTTTCCCTCATACCCACAGTACATGCACACTCTAGGTATATTGCTCGTGTTTGATGTTTAGTGGCTACAGTACAGTGAAATACCATGGTTCCCAACCTGTCTATGTTTCTTTAGGACTTGAGGATCTCTATGATGGTGTTGATGCTTTGGCTGCATCAGGTGTTGGTGCCTTTGACATCATGGCTTTTCCGTTAAGTTTGTGTTGCGTGCCAACTCCATTGTATCTATGAACTGGCACTAACTCCTTCCTTACTGTACTTCTTTGGTTCCTATCTCCTTTTGCAGATATGGTATGGAATTGGTGCTCAATTTTGTTCTGTGCATTGCTGTTTCCTGACACATGCTATCAACCTCTATAGGTCCAGCTGATGATGCAAATAATCCTGGTCATCTATCCCCTTGGAGCAAGGTGCTGGCAGATTGGCTAGAACCAGTAGAAATCACCAGTAATGGCATGTACAACTTGAAGGCTGCAGAATTATCAGATGAAGCATATAGGATCAATCTCAATGATTTTGGATCTCAATCAGAATATTTGTTGATTGAGAATAGGCAGCCACTGTTGTTTGACATCCACATTTGGGGAGCTGGTCTTGTTATTTACCATATTGATGACGCAGCGCCATTGCAAATGAACCGGGGATATCCAGGTCAACCTGGCTGGCCACAAAACGGAAATCACTATCAGGTTGCAGTACTTCAAAAGGATGGCAATTACGATCTCGAACAGGGAGAGAACAGTGGAGATGCTGGTGACATGTGGCTTCCAGGTGATAAACTTGGTCCTGGAATGGGAGGGACTGTCTATCCAAATACTGACACATATCAAGGTGGCATTATTATGGAGACTGGTTTGACCATCGAGGTCCTGAGACAGGAAGGCACTGATGTGACCTTTCGGATAGGTGGTCTCGATGAGGTTGAAAGCGTCCCTAGCCCTACTGCTTCCCCCACTCGAGCCGTCGCCTCTGAGACCCCAAACCCAACAGAACAGAGCGTTGAAACACCTGTTCCTGCCACTCCCGAGTCTCCTGAAACCCTTCCGCCTACACCAACGCCTCCTTTGGGATCAGTAACAACCCAACCAACTGAAACTCCATATCTTGATCAATTCAGACCTTACGCAGAACGTCCAACCATAGCACCGCCAAGCACAGAACGACCGACCATACCGGTAGCACCGCCAAGCACAGAACGACCTGGCACAGAACGACCAAGCACACCATATTTGTCAAGCTTCGGGTCGGCTCTCGAAATCGTAGCAACGCCACGGCCCCAGCCAGCAAATGGACTTCCTCAACCATCAGAATCACCTCCACCCCAATCGTCGTTTCTTTCCACATTTGACGTTTTTGCAAACTTGCGAGACGGTGGGAACGGATCGTACACAAAAGATACACAGGACACCAGCTTCATATTCACAAACTACGCATCCGTAACGCGAACTTCCGGTGGTAAAGACAAACCTTCCGAAGATAGCAAGGGCGGAGAAAGAATGGGCAAAGAGCCCTTGGCGTCCACCGCAATTGATGCCCATGAAACAGATACGCAGGCCGAACAAACCACTGCTTTTGAGTCAACGAAAGAGATCCAAGGTATGAGCTCGTCATCAAGGAGGATGCGTGGTGGTGAGGCAGCATGCACGGCGGCTTGGGTGAGCACAGTCACCTTTGCCTTCATTCACCTCGTGGCTTAGAGAGGCTGAAGCGAAACCGCCCAGAATTGAATCCTTGACAGACGTGCGATGTGACAACTTTTGATTTTCAATCCATACAATAATCAAGTGTTCATAGCTCGTACACTGTGTGAGGTGGAACAAAGGTGCTCTCAAAACTTGTTCTGACTGAGCGCAAGAGTACAGTACTACAAAGTGGTAAAGAGATGTTGCCGATGAAGACCAACACAGCGTGTGATAAGGTTGGTAACAGATAGGCATAATAATCTGAACTTTTGCAAAGAAGGCGTCCTGATAGCATTACGAATGGAGTTGAGTATATGTCACTTCTAATTATAGATGTCAACTCTCCAACCGGATGGCTGTCCATGCAAGTTGGCAGGGTCAACTCCCCAGGATTAGGCGGACTGCGTGTTGGTTGCATCTAGCGGTTCGGGTGATGAGAGTACTGGTACTGCTGCACCAATGAGTCAACCAAGCAACTGAATCCACCTGCTCTAAGCCCCCGTTGGTATGAAGGGCGGCGTCTGGAACGGACCCATTTCATCGACTCTATGCACTTGGCTACTGTATGATCATACCGCCGCTCGCAGCCCGTTCGGGACTCTTGTGTACTCGGCTGGCTGCGTCTTCTCTACGGTACGGCAGCCAATGTGGTATGCATTGACCGTGCGAACAGGCCATATAGGTCCATGCGGTATTGTGGCAGAGAACAGAAATTCACTTCAAAGGTTATGTAGTGTTACGCTTTCTGGAAGCATTGCGTTGACTCAAAACCGGAGAAGACCGTACTGCGGGATCACGAATGACGGATTGCCAAATGAGGAGTAACCCCAGCAATGGCTGTCGTAACATAGGTTCAAAACCATCCCTGGACGGAACTAAGCAAATTGGTGATTGCATCCAAGCTGATCATTCGGATATGAATCTTCTTCAACTATTCCGCCCTTGCTATTTTGGATGGTAGCAAACGGATGCTTTCTGCATACCACTCCCAAACTGCATGGAAACAACCGATTGATGATTGTCAACACAGTCACGAATAACAAACAGAACAGTGGGCTCTGCCAGTGCGATTTTGCCCATGTCCAGAATGCTGAATCGATTGAATCAGCTGACGAAGATGGACTTCTTGGATTCCCTCCTGCGCTTTCTTCGCCGTTGGTTCGGTTCATGCTCATTTGGTTAGTTGTTGCGGATGAACCTGTGCCCACCTCACTCTCCTCCTCACCCTGTGGATCAGTTGCTTTTCCAAATGCTGATGGGGGCAACCCATCACCTTGATGTACGCTTTGAAAGCCTGACAAGTAAGGGTCCGGTCCAATTCGACCTTCTGGATCGTCCCAATGTGGACTTCGTTGTTGTCTGTCGGTGGGGGTCGCAGTTAGTTGTCCATCAAATCCGCCCTGTTGTCCTACCGGCTCAACGAAAGGTTCAAAGGAGGAAAGGTAGCCTCTCCCAAATACTGGCTTTTGAGTTGGGGTAAGTATCTCTTTGTGGTTTCCAAATGAATATGGGATAGGGGCAGGCACAAAAGCAGCATTGGGGGTTGGTCTTGGCGGATTCATTGGCCCTGGCCCTGGGGGTGTGATTGTTGGCGCAAAGACTGGTAATGGCTTTGCAAGGCCTCCTGGCACAGTCTCAGCGCTAATACCCCCAACCTGGAAAGTAATGTCTGTTCCAGTCTGTGAAATCACTGACAACCATACCCCAGTCTCCTGTACATTGCCGTGTTGGTAGCTGTCAGTGCTGGGATACACAGTACCACTCATTCCAGGGCCAAGCTTATCCCCAGGGACCCAAATGTCACCAGCATCACCACTATTCTTCCCTTTCTCTAGGTCGTACCTTCCATCTTTTGGCAACAGCGCAACTTGGTAGTGATTACCACTCCATGGCCAACCCTCTTGCCCTGGATATCCACGGTTCCTTTGAAGGTCTGCTGCATTGTCAATGTGATATATGACCAATCCTGCTTGCCATATGTTAATGTCAAATTCCAGTGGTTGCCTGTTTTCTATCAAAAGATATTCAGAAGCTACTCCCTTGTCCGCCAAGGAAATCTTGTAGGCTTCATCAGATATCTCAGCTGCTTTCAAATGATATATTCCATTAGAGCCAATGTTGATTGGTGACAACCATCCCGCAATAATCTTGCTGTAAGCACTGAGGTGTCCAGGATAATCAGCGTTGCCGTCTTGGCCCTGTGTTGCAAGAAGTTGAGATCGCTGCGACCAAGCCAAACAAAACGTGCTTTTTGGGACCAAGAGACTCACATAGGGAAACGCCATTATGTCAAAGGCTCCAATTCCAGAGGCTGCTAAAGGGTCAACACCATCATAGAGATCCTCAAGTCCTGAGGGGGAAAACAACAAAGTCAGATGTTGGCCATGTTTTGCAACAACCAGCATCAAGCAAAACCAATACCTAGCGTGTGCATGTACTGTGGGCATTTTCAGGAGCATTAGAACTTGCATGCATTGGTCTATTCATGTTGATGTTCGATGCACTTACTTCATGGACTGTCAAACCAATTTTTGCTGGAACAGTTCCACAGTCCTCATCAAAGGCTGATGCTACAGTGTACCCTGCCACTTTTATTTTCCCATCTTTAGACTGCCATGATCTTTGGCTTGTCCCTGAGAAAGCTACCATTCAAGATCATTCACAAATCAACAAGAAGAGCAAGAGGTCAACGGTGAAGAACTGACCATGGTCTCCCTGCATGGAGAAAGAAAAGAAGACCTACCGTGAGCCCATATGCGATTGTTGAAGTCAGCCCCAAAACAGTCAGTAGTTGTAGTCTCTGCTCCATAGCCAGAGTGTATTATGACAAGAGAATCAATCCTGCCATTTCCGTCCAAGTCAAACTGGCTCCAATCCCAGTTGGGTCTGTTGTCGAGCTTGTCAAGGATTGGCCACGCCATTTTTTGTGATTCCAAAACAATTCCCCTCTTCCCAAATGAATAGTATTCTTCAGTGTTATCTGTGGTGATCCAGTCAATGACAGTTGCCTTGATGCCATAACGCCCTTGAGAGTTGGCCTCCATCCATTGTGGAACCTTCGTTTCCCAAAAGGTATCGACTAAGCTCTTGGGTACCAACTCTCGGTCAACGTGATCCGAAAAACGGATCATTAGCACCAACACCTACACAAGTATGCTGTAGTGAGCGTTTGGGACGATGTCAAAGGTGCTCTGCCTGGCATGCCGTACTTCGATAATAAACATACATTGATCTTGCCAAGATTGGGGTTCCTGCGAGTCTCCTTCTGCAGAGCCTTGTGGTCTTCAACGTGCTCTTGCAAAGATATATCCATTTCCTCGCATTCGTCTTCTGTCAGGTACCGACACCACTCGGCGTTCAAATGTCGTGACGTTGTATAGTTGAATGGTTCCAAGTTCAGACGACGGCGCATATCCTGGACGGATTCCCATTGGAGCTTCGAGTCTGGATGTGGTGGGATCCATGACCAGCATACCGAAAATGCAAAGCTACAAAGCCACAGCGCTGCCGCTTTCACAGCAACAATCCGATTACTCGACATCATCATCGTCCACAATTCGTCTCCGCGAACTGTTTCACTTCTTTCGTTCCCATGGGCTTGGGACCTTGCGATTTTTCGTTTACAAGACAAGCGCCACTTTTTGGCAACACAACCAGCTTACGGAAGATCCGGTACAGTTGTACACGTGGCCTGCCGTCCGTTTTGACTCACGCCCACACAATTTTGATTCGATTCAGAAGAATGTAGCAACTCCCATGGCAACACATCCAACCCAAAATGGCAAGTTCCGCTTCAAACACCGAAGCCGAGAAGGCGGACGAGGAGGCGATAGTTCTGCCAAAGCTCAAGTATGGGTACCGCACGGTGCCTCTTGAATGGCCAGAGCTGGTTCAAATCATCCAGGTGGAACAAGATCTGGCCAAGCTCTCTAGAAGTGTTGAGCAACAAACCTCCTACGCGATCTACATGCGTGATCTGAAACGGAAATGGAGCAGTGTTTATCATTTCATATTGCATTCCAAGTTTGGGTTTGCAAAGAGACAAGTTGCGGGCACCGGTAACAATGAAGGCGCACTTGTATGGGAGTCGTATCCTCCCGTTTCGGACATAAAGGAGCCACAAAAAGCACTGGTGGAGAACGATTTCCCATACTACAATGCTCCTGGTATTCAGCATTATATCCTCTGGAAGATTGGTGGAGATGTCACGGATCAAGAGATAGAAGAGGCTGGCCAAGATCTGCGAGCCAAGTTGGGGGATGTTTGTGGTGTGGTGCACTGGAAGAATCCACCGCATCTCAAGAGCTTGCCGGACATTGACCATGTACATATTCTGGTTCATAGGCAAACTACGTCAACCTCAGGTTCGGATCCTTCAGACTAACTGCAAGTATTGCCCGAAGGTATTCGATGGCTTGTCGCTGCACCGAGAGGAAGCAATGGCGAGGAAACTCAGCCCAGGCTTGTCAGGAAACAGGGGGAATAGCTACGTGACGCAGCTGTGTGAAGTGCTGCATCAAGAGAAAAGCATGTTGAAGAGAAGCAGAACCATCGACTCACTGTGCCAACATGAGACACAAAATTTGATAGACCATCATCGAGAGGGGTATCTGGTAGTAGCTACATCCATTCTAAACATGCTCGTAAGCGCCAGTTCTAATACTACTTGTGATTGATGAGCCAACACATTCGATACAACAAATACCTAGCTTTGTCTTCCATGTCCCGAAACCGTGGTGTATTTCCCGTTTGGATGTCCTGGTCAGATGCTCCAACGACCGTGACGCCCGCCACAACGCCTCCACCAAGATGATTCCATCGTGGTCGTAAGGAGTGGTTGTACGCCAACCTGCCTCCCCCGGCCTTGGCCAATCCACCTTGCTGTTGTTGCACGGCCTTGGACAAGAGACTGCCCTGTTTGCGACTGCAAGGCTCGCATTGAGGGAAAAAGCGAAAGCCAACTCGCCGTCCAAGCATGCGATTGTGCCACCGTGCATTCCATTCCTCTGCGACTGATTTTGGTGGCATGTGATCCCCTACAAACTTGGATCGACCCATTCTGGTACCACAGGTATGACAGCCCCATTGTTTCCCCCAGCGTTGCAAGGTGGCCTTTTGTGCCACATTGGCATATTTTTCGGTGGCGGGTATCCCGCGTCTTGCAAAGCTTCCAAGGTTCGTGTAGGAGGAGGGGGCAATGGCCCAGAATCTACCGCCCAACAACTTGAACGCTAGGAGTCCAAGAATGCAGCTAAAGACAAATAGACAAGGACAGTAAGAATGATTTGTTTTTTGGCAACCATCCAGCTACGCAATCTGTAGATTTGGTGAACTCACACTCGCACAGTGTGCATTGGAACTCGAACAAAACCAAAGAAATCAATGCATTCTCCTTTGGACAAACTTTTGTAAGACTGGTTCCAACCAGATGACGCTTCTTCCAATCTTTGTCTTGGTCCATCGGGCAAGTGATTCATAATGGAAGGCACCGTAGAAATCCTCCGACGCTTTTTATAAGTTTCCATTTGACCGTGTGCTACAATGGCCATGTGATGACTCGCAATTGACGCCAAGCAAACGGACGCTGCTCCGAGAGAAGAAGGAATGATGCGGGGTCGAGTGCCTGTCGAAACCCCCAACAGAGCGAGTTGCGTCCACGTGGAAACTGCCAGCGTTGATCCAAAGGAAACAACCCCTGCCGCAATGGGCCAGGTTTCCTTGGGGCAGTGTGACACCACTACGTCCATTCCTGGCAAAAGGTTGTTGTTGTTCCAGAAGCTGTCCATGGCGCTTGATGATGATGATGTTTGTTGTGTCCTAGCTGGTGGTACCGGTACCGGTAGGGAACGGATTGCTGTCATGGTCCCTGTAAACAGGTCCAGAGCGGACCGAGGCAGTTGGAGAAAACCAATGACACGCCAGCAGAGCTGCAAAAACAATTTCCAAACTTCATTTTTCAAGTTTTCTGGCGCTGCTGGCTGCTGGGTACATGTACGGTAGAGGGGGTGATTGTCCAGAGGGGGTGATTGTCCAGAAAGATGCATATGACATACAGTACGGTACAAGAAAACTGTGGGCCCCTCGGATTGCTCACATTCCAAGAATTTACCAGCTAGGTTATATATCATCACAACTGGCCAGTGATCATCGACAGGGGGGGAGGCAGAAGAGCTGATACCACGGGAGATTCACCATACGATAGTGCTGGACAACAAAACTGCAGGTGGCCCCAAGGGAATGCTATCTTGAGCACGGCTTGCGTCTTCTTATGGTCACCACTGCAGAGAATGCGCTAACAGTCTAGCTAGCTATGTGCATGTTGCTACCCAGACTCGACTCGTGCGTGCGAGTTACTGACTGACTAGCAAGCAAGCTACATGTAGGAGGGAAACTCCAAACGTTTTCGCAGCCTCCATACAATTGTAGCGCATTACTAGTACAAGGCAAGATCTCCTTGCGCATTCAGTTTGCTCATACGTACAAGCAATACCTCGGCTGACCTAGAATTGCCAGTCGCTACTGGTACTTCTAGCTGCACTGTGGTGCGTGCTGCGGTGCTGCAGCTGGGCTGCGGAGTGCTACTAAAAACCAGGTACAACCTGAATACATGTAAACAATACCAGGTACAACCTGAATAAACACCCCCTTCGATTGATTACCGGTTGCCCTGCACCTGTACCGGTACCGGTACTGTACAATTTTGCTCATTCAACAGACCGGTACCGGTACCGGTACGCACAAACCGGTACTGATATTCGAGTAGACGAGTATTAATTAACATAAGAAGTGCGCTTCAATTATTCAACATACATGCTCTTTTGCTATTAATAGTTGCCCGTGACTCCTTAATCCTTAACTCCTTCATCTAATTGCAGGCTTCCGCTTCCCTCTTCCCCTTTCATTCGTGGGAAGTTTAAATCCATCACCGGTACCTTGGTTCATCGTTCATCGATGGAACAAAAGCAGTCATCAGCACAGGAGAAGCCTAAACTGGGTTTCCGGTGCAGACGCTCATCACTCCCACGACCACCAACAACCTCAAAATCGATCGACCAAAGGTTGCACGGGTGCACACATCCTTGAGCTCTCGCCACAAGGCACAGATTTATTTGTTGACACTTGGCACCATGACATCACAAGATAGACTACAGGATGAAGAGTTGATTAGAGCTTTGGAAAACGAGGAATTGTATGAAGTCCGTTCTCGCGGCGGCGTTTCGGTAGAAGTGGGTCGTCAAAGGCCGGTAGATGACGATACCTGTGTTTCTTCCATTACAGATGGCCTTCAAAATGCAGATCTCTTTGTGGACCGAATGTACCCAACACTGAATCTTGTCCCAGAGGAGAACGAGACAGACAGCGCCAAGTTATTCACACAGCAATCCACGGTGGGGGGGAGCGATCAACAGAGTCAGCCATCGACTGACAATGAGCAGTTTTCAGTGATGAAAGAAAGCCTGAGAAGCAGCGAAGATGCAATCCTGAAAGCAACCAAAATGGACGAGAAAAATGCCCAGATAGGCGCCCAGATGATGGGTCCATCGCCAGATGATGACCTGGCACATAAGCTGGAGGTGAAGGTTTCAACGTTTCAGCTGTCACCACAACCCGTGGAGGATCATACTATTGAGAAAGATTTGTTGACAGAGAAGAAAGCGAATTTGGGAGCTACGGCACCACCGGCAACAACATCCGAAATCGGCGGGCTGGGCGACCCTCATCCTGCCGAGAATGCAGACGCTGGTCCTTCTGATGCAAACACGGATGGTACCATCCACAAACCAACGGGAAGCTCCACGACGCCATCGCCTGGAACCCTAAATTCCGAAAGCCTGCGACGCGAAGCAGATGCGGCAATCCAGCCGCTCCCGCAGCAGCAGCAAGGAGGCAGCAATTTACAGGCATCCAGGCCAGGCGCATTCCGCAGCTTTCGCCCTGGCTACAACGACCACTCGAGCCACCATGGTTACGAGGAGGAGGAGGAGGCCACTACTCCAGAGCCAGCTACCAGTACAAATGCTGCAGTAGAAGATTGCCATCTGGTGCAAGCCAATCCAGTCTCGGAGGATCCAGAGGCGCCAGCTGATCTCATGCATGCTAACCCTGTGGACTTGGAGCAGCAGGAAGCCCGACACCAACGACGCCACAGACAAACACGAATGTACATCTTCTTGCTGATTTTGGTACTAGTTGCTGCGGTGGCCATCATTGCCACGGTGGCTGGAACGCAGAGCAAGAGCAGCCCAGCCGAATCTGCTAGTGTCCCGACAGCGCCACCTACAATGATGCCTTCAGAGGCACCATCCTCTGCCCCCACTGGAGTTCTGGACTTTTTGCTATCCGGCCTGCCGAACTATACATTGATAAATCTACAAGAATTTGGCACTCCTCAGTGGAAAGCATGGGACTGGGTCGCCAATCACCAAAACATTACTGTTTTGGAAGAATGGAAGAAAATGCAACTGTTTGCCATGGCTACCTTCTATTTTGCCTTTGAAGGAGAGCACTGGTTTGAGCCAATCCGAGAAAGGTGGATGGACTATGGGAAGGATGAGTGCTTGTGGTATTCCACTGGCTTTGGAATCTTCTGGGGGGGGAGAATACATAGAATATGCCCCTGAACTGCAAAATCCGTCTTGCAATGACATGGGAGAACTCACCTCGCTGTCAATTGAGAGCTCACTTGAGTTGTCAGAGTGGGAGCCATCTATCCCACCTGAAATTGCTCTGTTGACATCCTTGGAAGCAATCACACTAAATTTCAATGAGCTCAATGCGAGTCTGCCCAGCTTGATTCCATCAGAACTGTTCCTCCTGACAAGCTTGACAAAGCTAGAGTTGTTTCATTCTGCATTGTCTGGCACAATCCCAACTGTGTTGGGCCTGATGGATGGCTTAGAGCGCTTGGCACTGGGATCGAATGACTTGTCTGGGACTGTCCCCAGCGAGCTGGGCTTAATGACAAGCTTGAAAAGTGTGTCGTTGGGAAACCTTCTCACTGGCACAGTTCCAATCCAAGTGTGGTTGCTGAGTTCTCTTGGTTCCCTTCGGTTGGCAAACAATATGATTTCGGGACAGCTACCCAGGGAGATTAGGTCGCTATCTGGATTGGCACAGATTGATTTAAGAATGAATCTATACACTGGACGGCTCCCTTCTGAGATTGGTATGCAAACTTCTATGATCCATGTTGATTTGAGAGGCAATTCCTTTACTGGACGGCTCCCTTCTGAGATTGGAATGATGAATTCAACAAAATTCTTTGATGTGAATGGGAACATGTTATCGGGACAAATTCCAAGTGAGCTTCAGATGTTGACTCTGCTGCAATTGTTTGACCTTGCCAGCAATGAATTCACTGGTCTGCAGATGCACCCCAACCTTTGGAAACTTTACCTTGGAAGCAACAAATTCTCTGCGAACATTCCCTCCGAGTTGGGCGGCCTAGTATCTTTGATGGAGCTGGATTTGTCCAGTCTACCTCTGGTTACTGGAGCCATCCCATCAGATCTCACAGCTTTGTTGGATCTTGGCATGTTGAATTTGAATGGTAGTTCTGGGCTATCTGGCACAATTCCAGAGGAGTTCTGCGACGAGATACAGCTTACAATTCAGCTTTACAGCTTTACAATTAGCAGGCTTATTCTAGAAATAATCAATAACTCCACTTATTTGGAAATACAAAACTTTACATCTCTTAGATGTTAGATTAATCAATCCACAATGGTATTGTCCATGGTAGCATGCGAGTATAGATGTTACTCATTTTATTCTTATATGTCTATCCTTATGGTTGTCAATGATGCGCTACCCTTGATGCAGATGCTCCAGAGTTTCCTCTTGCACACTTCATCGTAGTCCTTCCCCTTATTCAACTTATTCCTTGATCGCTCGTAAGCAATCCTCCCTTCTATTCGATCTAAATCCACTTCATCTGTCGTCGATCAAATCGCGATGAGGATCCTATCGATGACTCCTATGGGAGTCCACCTTTACTATCAGCCAAGCGCTAAAGAAGCCGCTACTAATACTGCTAATTCTACTGATACTACTGTTATCTCTATCACCGACAAAGCCTTACCTCATCACACCTTGCCTCTCGTCGGCCGCGACAACAGAGGTCGCGATGAGTTAACAGAGGTCGCGATATCGAGTTAACAAGAATTCATCGAAAAATGAGCCCGACTGCATATGAAGGTCGGCTGTGTGTCATGCCTTGAGTCATGCTTCGGGACATTTCACCCCTATTATGGGATCGAATCACCTGAGCTTAAGTCTTTTCTTGAGAGCGATCGGTCGTTTCTTGATCAGCTTCAGATCCTCACTTTTCATTAACTCGACGACGAACATCCACACGGATGACAACAACAACACGATCGCTCGGTTGTTGTTGTTGCTTACAAAGAACTGGCATTTGTCGTTTGACCTTGCGTTGCAGTTGTCGTTTAACTGGCTTGCAGTTGTTCAATCATTCAAACGACCGATCCGACGACGCGACCGATTCGCCGAACTCGCGTCGAAGGATCCAAACCCAAACGACGCGAAGAACAACAACAATAAAGCTCATAAATTCCATTCGATTGACTCGATTGATTGGATATCCACTGTCTCCTCCTCCTGTTGCCATTGCTCTTGTGCCATTGCTGCACTGTTGACCTTGTTGATTTTCACTGCCCCCATTCCATCATCTATTAATGACCTTGACACGCTTCCTCTCTCAGCATCTTCATCTTACAACAGCAGCGCCAGCAACAGCATCCTTGTTCAGTCCACAAAGCTTCAGACAAGCCTTCTTTGAATCTGATCCATATCATCCCACCATCTGATACTCTCTCTTTTTTT